TACACAAGTACAAAAGCGCATTTTATAACTGAACTTTGTTCTATATTTCAGGCTAGAATTTTAATCTGGATCACGATAGAAAATATCTAATAAACTCAGTATCCCACAGGACCTTTTGTACCCTCCTGAGTTAAGATAGAAAGTACCTTAAAAATCTAGAATAGCCTGAGCCATTCAAATTTTTTTTTTTTAAGATTTTATTTATTTATTCATGAGAAACACAGAGAGGCAGAGGGAGCCTGGTGTGGGACTTGATCCCAGAACCCTGGGATCACGACCTGAGCCAAAGGCAGACGTTCAACCACTGAGTCATCCAGGTGCCCCAAAAATGTTTTGGCTGTGATGTATGTCTCTTGAGGTCAGCAAGGACTTACTGCATGTGTGAGGTACTGCATCAGGCTTGAGGGTGGCCAGGAGATATTAGTACACAGGGGAAGAAGGAATTGGCTCCTTGAGACTTTGCAGGATATTAAAGCATTTGGGGAGTGTTTAGTCAGTATTCTGTGGTTCCTTTTGCACGATCCTCCACATCCAGTTTCTGAGCCAACAATCGCTTCCACCTCCTGAATGTGTGTTGAGGTACATTCATTTCTCCCTACCTTATGTGCTGCCCTCTTGGTAGAAGCCACCATCTTCTCTCCTAACTAATTTCCATTACTTCCATTCCTGTCTCCTTCTAACTTGTTCCCAACATGGAACTATCTTTAGTATATAAGTTAGAGTACAACAGTCTCAAACTTAAAACCCTTAATGACTTCCCTTTATACTTAAGCAGGTCATGGTATAGAATAGAGTTTAATGTGGTCTTTGACTACTTCTCAACTTTATCTCTTAACAGCTATGCCCTTATCTGACTAAAGGCCGAAGCAACTGGCCTTTGTTTAATTACTTTAAAAAATAAGCCTTTTCATATCTTGATAAATCATGCTTTAAAGATTAAGATGAATTTTATCTCGAAAAGTGCCCTGAGATAACTTACAAACTAAGAAATGTGGTAGTTAATAAAGCACTTATCCACCCCCGTGAAGCACTTTGCTTTTTAATTGTGCTTCATCCCATGTGGTGGTGATTCTTGGCCTAAGGAGGTTTTGGGTAGTCACCCCTTGCTTTTAACCTGAATGCATGGATTCCTCCTCTTTCTGTCTTCTACTAGGAGCACTATCTCTAGTTCTTTTTTCTACTCATAGCCTTCAAATAGCTCCCCCACCTCTACTTTTTTTTTTTTTCCCTAAGCAGAAAGGAGAATTAGGGTATAATTGTTTGTGCTTAGTTAGAAAAAGAGCATAGTCAATTTGTAAGACTATAATGTGAAATTCTTACATTATTTGGTAGTAATAATATGTAATTATTTCTGTTTCTAATTATTTTGTAGTAAGGCCCAATTACTGAAGTTAACCTATTATTACCACTTTTAATGATGATTGTTTAAGAGAATAGATTTGTTTGCTAGAAACTCTCACTAAATAGTGTTAAAATATTTTTATAAAGATATCAGAGATACTAGCAAAGGAACAGACATTATCCGTAGGTTTTTTTTATCTACAAAATAAGATAAATGTTATCACTGTCTTGTACAGCAAATATCTGATTTTGAGACATTTCACTTTTGATACATGTAACAATAAATAAATCTCTCATTTGATATGTCTCACATATAAGTTCTGAGATCTGTTAACACTGATTCATAAGAAAAAGGAGTAGGGGAAGGAATTCTGGTACCAAAGGAACAGGCAAAGAATGCAGGTTTGGCTCCAAATCTCTCTACCTTCTATAATGTTACCTATTTGCATCAACAAAGTGATTTTTATTTAAAGATTTTTATTTTTGCTAAGTGGACCAGGCCCCATCATTGACCTTTTATTTCAACTCTTAGTAGTTCTACACATGTTATTTTTGCTCATTCATACAGATTTGCCACTTTTCCTTATTTTGTTACCACCACCTTACCAATCTTTGTATATTATGAAATGAACTGAGCAAATAGAAGTTGTTGCTTTTCATGCTCACCATCTAGGGTGATATCTGTGCAGTGGTGGTTCTTATCAGACTTGGTTGTTGATGGAAATTACCCAGCAGTTCCCAGAAGACAGTCAAAAGGACCTGGCTTCACCTTTTGTGAATAGTGGCCATAATTTAGTACTAAGGGTCAAATGAATATGAAGCATAAACAGGGTGTGGGATCATACTAGACGTTTTTCCAGAGTATCCATGTAGAGATTATCTGCAAAGTCTTACTGAATTATTCAAAATGTCTATAATGGAGGTTAAGATGGTAGATTTGCATCCAGAATAGAAACGAAGGCAATTTAGTTAGGAAATGTCTTTCTTTGTTAATTCACCTGACTTTGGTAGTTAGGTAGAACATGGTTTCTAGGTGATAGTCTTGCTTTTAATTTGGAAGTTTAGAGAATAACACTTTAGAGAACAGTCTGCCTTAGTGCTGGGTATTAAGGGATTATGGGCAGCCTGCTGAGGTATAAATGGTCCCCCGGTTAGAGCACTTGATCTTGACTGGGAATGACTTGGCCCTGGTGGGGACATTTGGCTTGTCTGCAGATATATGACTTTGGTCTTCACAACTTGGGGCTGCTACCGGCCTCTACTTGGGTAGGGGCCAGGGATGCTGGGAAACATTCTACAATGCACTGAAAAACCCGTCACTACAAAAAGCCCAAAATGTGAATAGTGTCAGTGTTGAACAACCCTGTGTTATAAGAACCCCAGCAAAGGTCTATTGTATGTTTTCTTACTCACTGTAGATTGAGCCTGCATATTTGCCACCGTAATCCTGTAGTTAAAATTTAGCAATTTGGAGTATACTCAGCCTTCGTGTTTTTTGTTTGTTTGTTTTTTAAAGATTTTATTTTTTTATTCAAGAGAGAGACACAGAGGCAGAGACACACACAGGCAGTGGGAGAAGCAGGCTCCCTATAGGGGGCCTGATGCAGGACTTGATTCCAGCACCCTGGGATCACAACCTGAGCCAAAGGCAGACGCTCAACCACTGAACCACCCAGGCATCCCTCAGCCTTGTTTTTAACAACTCACATTTAGACAAACATACATGTGCTGGCTTCACATATATAGGACCATCTTTTTCTGTGCTACTTAACTATTTGCAGTCTTTACCCATTATGAGCTTTACTCATCTTTTTAAAAAATGTTCCCTATGCTAGTTAGGATAAACAGACCCTTGGCTGTTATTTTTTTGTTTTTAAGATTTTATTTATTTATCATGAGAGACACAGAGAGAGGCAGAGGCATAGGAAGAGAGAGAAGCAGGCTCCCTGTGAGGAGCCTGTTGTGGGACTTGATCCCTGGACCCTGGGATCATGACCTGAGCCAAAGGGAGATACTCAACCACTGAGTCACCCAGGTGTCCCACTCTTGGCTGTTTTTAAGATGTTTAGTAATTAAGTATTTGGTAATACTCAGTGTTAAAGGGGTACCTGATTTTAGACACTTTATAAATTCCATCAAGGATAGCTAAATGTCATACTTTATCTTCGTGGTGCATAACTAGGAGGGGAAGAGATAGAAAGGTGGCAGAGAGAATTTACACTGCAACATTTACCTATAGATAAAAAGAAAATCTTCATTATATGGCATGAGCCAGGTTATTAGGACTAGCACAGCAGTGTGTATATAGATGCTCTATATAAACCACTTGTTTTTTATTTGAAATATGGAAAATTCTGTGTTATTGACTAGATTAAAATTTAAAGAGTATGCTACCTACTTTGTAGGATATTACAAATGTGAGCTTTTAAATAATTATACATAAATATATTATGAATAAAACTTTTATCTAAAACTGTTATGTAAACAGCAAATAATTACACATTTCAATACTCCTATGAGCAAAGTAAATTGTTGCTATGTCACATAGAGAATACGTTATTTTCATGAAATCCTCTGAATGAAAGTGTTTGCACATGAAATAATGTCTTTATAGGAAAAGCATGCTTATCTATCTCTGTTAGCCATGTCCATGGTTAACCATGTCCACAAACTGACAGATTTGGACCATGATCAAGGCTTTGCTGGTGATAGTCTGCCAATTATTAGTATATACTCTCTACAGAAATATGCAGTTCTTCTCCAGGGCTTGGTCAGTCACAGATTTGAGATACAATAAGATATTATCTCTGAATGATAAAAGATTTGGTGTCTTTGAAATAGAAATTAACATTTATATATTAGGGCTCTTCCTGTTACTTTTTTTTTTTTTTTTTCATTCATGAGAGACACAAAGGCAGAGGGAGAAGCAGGCTTGAACCAAAGGCAGACACTCAACCACTGAGCCAGTCAGGGGTCCCTAGGGCACTTCCTGTTTCAAATGCTGGAGAACCCAACTCAAATTGGCCTAAGGTCAAACAAGGAGTTTATAGCTTATATAATTGAAAGGGCTAATGCCTGGCCCTTGCCTTTGGTATGAGACCCAAACAGTGCTCATGCCCTGATTGCTTTACCTCTACTGTATTGACTTTATTCTCTGTCGATATGATAGATCACAGATCCAGGCTTCTCAATTTCAGGTCTGAGTCACTGGTTGCAGGACAATAGAAAAGAGAATGTGGAAAGTCTCTTGTGGTGTCATTATTTTTGGCAGGATCACAGAGGAGATTGTAATGGCATAGATTGGGCTATATGCCAAATCTGGATTTGGGTGTATTTTTAATGTTACTTATGACCAAGACTGTGAAAATATATCATTTTCCTAAGCCTGCCCTCTTCTGTAAAAGTACCACTGTAACCAATATCTTATGCTTATAATTGTATAAATGTAAGAATCAATACCTGTATTATTTTACATATTATTTTACAATTTTATCTTACATGTTTTTTTCCCTTTTATCACTGATCAATATATTAAACATTCCCACTTATGGAAGATCTCCAAGGAAGATCCTATAACTTTTCTTTTAAAAAACAGAAATATCCTACACAGATGTTCTATTTCTTTATGAAGTGTTTAAGAAATACCAAATTTAGAGACCAAGATGGCCAGGAGACTCGCCGCCTTCCTCAAGGATGCCTGGGCCAAAGAGCCGATGCTGGTTGCGTCCTTCACCATCGGGGGCCTCGCTGTGATTCTGCTCACCCTCAGTCCCTTCACCAAGTACGCCACCATGATCCACCAGGCCACGCCCTACAACTATCCAGTGCCTCTCCGAGATGATGGGAACATGTCCGATGTGCCCAGCCACCTCCAGGACTCCCAGGGCCCCAGCCTGGAGTGGCTAAAGGAATTGTGAGCACCTCTGGTGACATGGAGGTGGCCCCTCCCCTGTAGCCAATAAAATGCATAGAGTGACCCCAGAAAAAAAAAATACCAAATTTGCTTAAAGATAATAGTTCATTAACGAAAACTTTCATGAATTCTTACATAGAACCTGTTTCTTATTAGGCTTCATTGTATGGTTGAGTTTTTAACACAGGAAGAGAATGACTGTAGGTAAATTAAATGTTTTTTAAGCAAGAGATAATTCTGGAAGAATTCACTGATTTAAAGCCTCTTGGCTGATTTAAGTATGACATGTGAATTATTGCTAAGTATTGTCTCTAATGATGAAAATTGGTTAAAAACACTTTTCTTCAATGTAAAATGGATTAAAGATTTAAATGTAAAACCCAGAACTGTAAAACTTCCAGAAGAAAATATAGGGGGAAAACTTCATGACATTAGTTTTGGTGGTGATTTCATGGATATGAAATCATAAGCAACAAAAGCTAAATTAGGTAGTAGAGATTACATCAAACCAGAAAGTTTTTGTACAACAGAGGAAATAACAGAGTGAAAATACAAACTACAGAATGGGAAAAAATGTTTGTAGACCATATATCTTCCAAAAAAAAATAAATAAATAACAACAATAGCACCTATAAAGAGAACAAATTGGTGGTTGCTAGAGAAAGTGGAACTGGGATGGGAGAAATGGGTGAAGAGGATCCCCCACCCAAAAACAAAAAATAAAAGGAAGAAAATCTTGCAATATGTGAAAACATGGAATAACCTGGAGGACATTAAGATAAGTGAAAGAAGCCAGGCACAAAAGGAAAAATACTGCCTGGTTCCTGTGTATGAGGTAGCTAGAATAGTCAAACCTGGAAGCAGAGACTAGAATAGTGGTTGCCGGACAGCCCCGGTGGCGCAGCGGTTTAGCACTGCCTGCAGCTCGGGGTGTGATCCTGTGAGACCCGGGATCACGTCCCACGTCGGACTCCCTGCATGGAGCCTGCTTCTCCCTCTGCCCCTCTCTCTCTCTCTCTCTCTCTCTCTCTCTCTCTCTCTCTCTCTCTCAATAAATAAATAAATAAATCTATCTATCTATCTTAAAAACAAAAAAATAGAATAGTGGTTGCCTGGGGTTGAGGGAAGGAGCAAATGGGGAGTTGGTATTCAGTTCTAGAGATCTGTTCTACAACACTGCACCTATCATTGACAATACTGCATTGTTTAGTTAAGCTCTTAAGAGTATAGGTTTCATGTTAAGTGTTCTTACTGTAATAAAAACAACATAGTTCTCTGTAGTGTTTGATAGTTAACCTATTGGCATCTGTGTAGTTGTGTATGGACTCACATGTTTGTCATTGATTATCATTTTCTTCTTGGTGTGTCTTTGTCAGTGAACTGTTTCTGAGTCTCATCCAGAAGGGAACTACTTTGCCTCCCCCATAATTGGACTAACTTATATGGATGCTACAGCTGTTATGGGGGTAGAAGTTGGGGACGGAGTGGTTTACTGCTTCAGGCCAGGAAAGAATCCTCTCTCAATCCAGTAGTTGACAGATGAGATTGATTTCAGGTACACAAGGACTAATTGAATCTTTGGGATACTAGGGAATAAACAAGATTTGAGTAATTGGAATTATTTAGCTCTCTAGGGATACAGTAAGACTTCTTCTAAATAAGATTCTGGATCTTCCCTTTTGTCTAGATTAACCGCAGGCATCTTCAGTCCTGACAGTCTGACAAAACAGTTAATTCCTTCCAAAAATGGGATTAAATCTGGAATTGTTAGGTGTATTTCCCCTTTTTAGTTATTACTGTTGAATTTCAAATTATAATTACAACGTAATTCAAATTTCTTGTACAAATATTTTTAACAGCACAGCATTTAAAGAGTGAAAAAAAATGTCTTCTCCATGACACCATGCCCATTCCTCACAATAATCACTGTTAAGGAGTTGGGTGTGTGAACTACAGAAGTGGTCTTGGGTTTGGATTAACAAACTCAAAAGACATGATAGGCTTTACTCGGCACTAAGTTTACTTAGCTTTAAGGAAGGGTACAAGACAGAAAATAAAACTTGTTTGATACAAAAATAGTAAAGGTCTAGTCATATCCCAGGAGTAACTTTGAAATGTTCCAGTCATTCCAGTTTAGGATGCAAATGGCCACAAAAGCTATTGATTCTTGGGGCTTATCTTATGCTAGTTATGAGCGTCCTCAGGACTCTGTTGAGCATCCCTCTGTTCTGCAGCACAAGTGCATCTCATCAGTGCTATTTACTAATTACTTGATACGCATTCTTGATAAAGTTACTTTTGCCTGATTCTTAAGTTTTCTTGGATTTACTATACTCCTATAGGTTCTCTGAATTGCTATTGCAAGAGACCCTCCCCACAGGGAGCCTGCTTCTACCTCTGCCTGTGCCTGTCTCTTATGAATAAATAAAATCTTTAAAAAAAAGTCTTGCATAACAATATATCTAATAAATGATAACATACAAATGCATGTAAGAGATACCCTCTTTTTTTATGGTTCCCTACTATGGTTGTGATATTTTGCCAATACTCAGCTGGTGACCAGTTAAGTTTGCTAGTAGTTTTTCATGATTATACATATTATCACAATGAACATCCTTGTACATGTGCCCTTGTGAATTAGGGCATGTGTTTATAAAGACTACATAGAAATTTTGGGTCAGAGAGATGCACATTTAAATTTTTGTCTGCATTATTTATTAAATTAATCTGCAAACTGTCCCTCAAATTTAAGTGTCATCAACAGCATATAAGAGAATATTTCCCATGGTACTTCCTTCTAGCTTTGTCTGTGTTGTCTTCCTGAAAAATTCTGTGAATGTGGCAAAATATATAATAATTTTTATTATACATTGGGATCAGCAGGTTTTGGATTGCCAAAGTCATAGGACTAATAAGTGACCTAGATTAGAATTGAAATCTTCGATAACTGTTTTCTCTGAATTAAATTGAAAAGTGCTTTTAAACTTTATTTACTTTTCTTTCATTTTAATACTTGCAACTAATTTAATAGTCTACTGTTGAGAAAGTCAAATTATTTCTATCCAACGTTATTCAACAGAAATTAAGAAAATAGCCAATTAACCTCTGATTTTGAATGGAGCTCTTCATTATCTGTCAGTAACATTAGATTACATTATGCCAGTTTAAAAAAAGTTGTTAGTTACAGATGCATTTGATATACTAACTGGTAGTACCAATATATAAAGTTAATGATTTTAATGTATATTATCAGCCTGATGCACAGTAAATAATTGCTCAACCATTGACATTGTGATATTTGACAAATCTGCAAAACTTTTGCTGTATAAGCCAATGAAAATTTTACAAGATACAATTTAAATGGTGAAGTGAATAAGTTTTTGAGGATGATCCATTATAACTTATAAAAAACATTTTATGTAAAATTACTTCTACCTTTGGTTCTTTTGGTTTGCCACTTTCATTAACAGTAATATTTGTAACTCATTTTTCTAGGTGCTATCAATGAATTCATGCCATCATTATTTATGTTTGAAATACTCTACCAGGGCAGCCCTGGTGGCGCAGCGGTTTAGCGCCGCCTGCAGCTGGGGTGTGATCCTGGAGACCTGGGATCGAGTCCCACATCGGGCTTCCTGCATGGAGCCTGCTTCTCCCTCCGCCTGTGTCTGTGCCTCTCTCTTCGCTCTCTCTGAATGAATGAATAAATAAATCTTAAAAAAAAAAAAAGAAATACTCTACCATTCAAACGTAATTTTATCTACATATATGGAAAGTATTTCAAACTAGCTGCAATATTTTATTACTAAAATTTAAAGAGGGTAGAATACATTTTTTTTTTTTTTTTGGTCAGACTGTATTGAAAACAAATAGTTTTAGGGGCAGACAGGAACTTGTTTCTCCTTTCAGGGTGATTGTAGCCCTACTCTCAACTTAAAGGTAATGAGAGAAAAGTCTGTAGATTTCCTCATGGTTATTTGAGCATCCTTTGCCATTTAAAACAGTAATAGATGTGGACAGATTTGCTTCCTATGATCTAAATATTTCTCTTTTCATAAGCTACTCTAAAAATACCAATTTAAATTTAGGCATAAGAAGGAATAGACATTAGAGAAAGTTTCGGTAATATGAAAGTAACACTAATCTTACCTGAACTGGATTTATTGATAAGCAGTTTTACAGAATTGCTTACTGAAATTCACGTCTCCCTTCCTTGTTGTATTTTGTTGCTTTTATTATAGTGGTGATCAGAGCCTGCAGCACATCAGGCTTTGGTCTCTCTCTCCTGCTCAGTCGTAAGACCAGGGTATTAGATCTGTTTGTAATTTCGCTCTTGTGTTTAGGGCTTGGAACATAACAGGTATAAATGTTGAATTTCGTGAGATCTTTGCGGAAGACTATACTGTGAAGTTGACAACTTATTCTATTCAATAATCCGTAGCCACTAAAAACTATTTCTTAGGTTTTCCTATTACTTGGGTGAACTGATTCTTATATAAAAGGATGTCCTATATTGTTAATTTTGTTCACAGATGATTGTTTTATATACCTAAATTGCTGATAGTTTACCATCGGTTTCTATTTATCAGTCTTTCTATCTCCCTATTCAGTTCCATGCCATATTTTATATGTGAGACCCATTTTGCCTTTTGATGGTTTTGAGCTTTAAGGTTTTGATATTTAGGAAATGTGCAGAATATTCTGTGATCTTCTGCAAGTTATGTTTGTGGCTTCATTTGAATTTGGGTGCCATTCCTCCTAAGGAAATGTGTCTTGTAGGTAATTGGTAAATATCTTTGTAAAAATTCTTATTTTTGTCATGCACTGTTTACATAGCTTAGGCTTTTTTTTTTTTTCCCAGGAACACAGGCTTTTTTAGATTTATATTCATTCTAACAAAAATTGAGGAAGAGGACCGGTGTATATTGAATGTTTAATGTGTTCTGGTATTCTGAAATTAAAAAAGTAACAATAACAACAAAATAGTAATCTGTGGATTAAGAGAATTTGAAGAACAGTTGATTAGCAGCATCAAATCCCAGAGTGAAAGCAAGACCTAAAAGTCTCAGTTGGGGAGACAGCCAGCCTTACACGAATATCTTAGTATTTCCCAAATTTTAATTTTGTGCAACCTGATGGTTAATAGCGTTCACACATTATCTAGATTATCGGTTACTTAATCTTAAAAAGTCTTAACAATCTTATATCTATAATTTTATTTTTAAAGAAACTTTTTATATCAGAACAAAATATGAAAACTTATACCTTCCACAAATAGAACACATCTGTAAAAATTAATGAAGGGCAAAACGTGATAACCATGTCCCATTGTCTCTTACTGAGCATGAGGCCTCTCTTCTTTTGTAAAGAAGGAAAAAAACTAGCTTCAAGAGATATTGAAGACACACTATACACTCTTCCTCTTTTATTTAGTAAGAGGAATCCAAAAAGATACAAAAAGGAAATACATGCCGTTTTAGGTGATTCTGAATTACTTGGGTGTGTGCTATGTAGGATCACTTGTATTGCAGTGGTCACTGGCTGAATGTGAAAAGATCCAAAGAGGAAAGCGTGACTGTGTGTGTCCGAGTGCCTGCTTTTTAATGTTTATCATTTGTGAGGTACTGCTCTAAGCTGCTTATATTGAAATGTTTTTATTTCTTTTTTTTCTATTTGAAGCTCTTTTAAGAGCCTGTGCTGATGGAGGTGCCAACCGCTTATATGATACCATGGAAGGAGAGAGGGAAAGGTATGCTTTCTTTTAGTCTGTGTCCAAAACACCACTAATTCTGTTCTTCAGTTTGTTTTATTCTCTCCTTGATGAATGTTTCTCCTTAACTAACGTTGCTTCAAAATTAACAGAAAACCACCTCACTGAGAGAGTTGCTCCACCATGTTGTATTGTTTCTCTGTTTTGAGTATATCTCTGAGAAAAACTAGGCCAATCATATTCTTACTTAAAAACTCTTCATTCTGGGATCCCTGGGTGGCGCAGCGGTTTGGCGCCTGCCTTTGGCCCAGGGCGCGATCCTGGAGACCCGGGATCGAATCCCATGTTGGGCTCCAGGTGCATGGAGCCTGCTTCTCCCTCTGCCTGTGTCTCTGCCTCTCTCTCTCTCTCTCTCTCTCTCTCTGTGTGTGTGTGTGACTATCATAAATAAAAAAAAAATATTAAAAAAAATAAGGAACTCTTCATTCTAGTCAAACGGATAAAGACAGTTATCATATGGTTTCGCTCATAAGTGGAATGTAAGAAACAGCACAGAGGATCATAGGGGAAAGGAGGAAAGGATGGAAAACTGAAGGGGGAGAAATCAGAGAGGAAGACAAAGCATGAGACACTCTTTTTTTTTTTTTAAATTTATTTATTTATGATAGTCAGAGAGAGGCAGAGACACAGGCAGAGGGAGAAGCAGGCTCCATGCACCTGGAGCCCAACATGGGATTCGATCCCGGGTCTCCAGGATCGCGCCCTGGGCCAAAGGCAGGCACCAAACCGCTGCGCCACCCAGGGATCCCCAGCATGAGACACTCTTAACTCTAGGAAACAAACTGAGGTTTATTGGAGGGGAGGTAGGTGGGGGGATGCGGTTACTGGGTGATGGGCGTGAAGGAGGGCATGTGATGTGATGAGCCATGGATGTTATACGCAACTGATGAATTACTGAACTCTACATCTGAAACTAATGATGTACTATATGTTGGCTAATTAAATTTGACTTAAGACTTTTTGGTAAATAAGTAAATAAAACCCCCTGACTCTACTACTTCAAAAGTTTCATTAAGTAGCATTATCAAATTTCAAAATCTGTAAGGGCTTTGAACATTGACTAAAATAAAACTCAGTTTATTTATTTTTATTTTTTTTAAAATTTTATTTATCCATGAGAGACCATGAGAGAGAGAGAGCAGAGACACAGGCAGAGACAGAAGCAGGCTCCATGCAGGGAGCCTGATGTGGGACTCGATCCCGATACTCCATCATGCCCTGGACTGAAGCTAGATGCTTAACCGCTGAGCCACCCAGGCATCCCTAAAACTCGGTTTAAATGAATAAAAACTGACCTCATATAAACAAATGATACATCCTGTGGCAGACATGAGATTTTTGTAATAGTATTGAGTAAAGCTGAGTATAATTTAACTTAGTTACTTTTGAGTTATGCACACACATATATTTTAGGAGATAAATGACTTATTTCTTAATGATTTGTTGTCTGTGCTGTTGGTTTTTCTTATCTTTGCATGGTGAGCTATTTTTAGACAAGAGAATACGTTTGATGAGAGTAAATTTAAATCCAGCTCATTGCCAACATGTTTATAGTTCAGCCTCTTGGCAAACATAAGAATTTACAGTCTAGGTATAAGTAGACTAGCTGTGAAATTTAGTTCCACTTCTATCATATGTGTTATTAAATGTACTGAAATGTTTATAGTTTGAGAAATCACTTCCTTGCTGCAAAAAAATAAAATAAAAATATTATGATTCAACATACCACAGGTGTGAATTAAATATATGTAGTTTGAAATGATATAAAATACATCTTTATGGCATCAGAATTTTTAACTTCAGGCTTCTAATATTGGAGCTGCTTTTTGAAAGCAGCCGGTTGCTTATAGGAGGAGAACATGTTTCCTTTGAGACTGGGAATGCTAATGTCTAGGGACTGGATGAATTATCAAAGAGTATGGCAATAGTGACAGCCTAGTTTAAATTCTTAACATTTTATGGTTCTTTATTTTTTTTAACTTTATGGTTTCCTCTGACCATATTCTCTAAGACCTGACATGGACAGTATATGAAAAATACTCTAAACAGTGCCCGGGCCAGTTCAGGGAAGAGCATGATGCCCATGAGGCCAAGATTATGAATTGGGTATTGCGTTTCATGCCTATAGCTGGCTTACTGGCAAGAAACCTAGTACTGAGTACTATTTTTCTCATGGTAGGTGTAGCTCATGAACATATTTATATGAACCAGAGCTGTGAACAGATATTAACACAGTGCTTCTCAATTGTGCTATGACCATAAAAACCATCTAAAATGCTTGTGAAAAAAAATATAGATTTCTATACTGATTCCTCTTACTGGATTGGGCTGGACGCTAATAAGTTAACACATGATGCTTTTATTCACATTAGAAAGCAAAGCAGATTATGAAGTTTGTGGAGTGAATACCATCGTTTTTGCCTAAATTTCAAAATAACATTTCTAATATTCTTAACAGACTTACAAGTAATCTTATGGAAGTCTTCCAAAATATTTATATGATCTATCTGAGAATCATTTGACCGTATACGAAGATGTTCAAAGAAAATGTACTTTCCATTCCTTCTCTCATTGTAGTAATGTGTGTGCCGTGATTCATACTCTGACACTTAGGGAAACGGCTGGCCTGGATAGAGTGTCTAAATGGTGATGAATACACTAACTGCCTCATGTGGGAATTAAATCCTTGGAGTAAACCTCATTAAATACAAATTGTAACCAGTTACACTAATTGGATATAGGTGACTAAACATGGTTCTATTAGCTGCATTTTTAACAGAAAAGCCATACAATGAAAAAGGAAAAAGATAGAAGTTTTTAAAAGCCAAGTATGATTGGCGGATCTGCTTGGCTTGTTGTATTTGTCTATTTAAAGTCCATATCTACATTGTAATACCTTATAATTATGCAATAAAACATGAATGTGTAGAGAATCATCTCCCACTGAAGACATTTGGAGTGGAAGGAAGACTGATGTCGGAAGAGAGAGGAGCAGGAGGAGGAGGAGGGTTTATGGAGCGTTAGAGCTGAGGCAAGCATCAGCAGTGACTTGACGTTCTGATCTTGTGCCACTTCATTCCATCTTCATAAATGTCTGAAAATGCCTCTATTTGTTTTTTCATAAAGAAGTCCTAAGTATTTTATATTGCTGAGAAAATAATACGTGTTGATTTGAACATATGTCAGTGAGTTGAGAGAAATAGAGGAAAAAAAAAAACATCTGTTACTTCTTAAGGAGCAAAGAATTACCTTGAGTCTACTCTGCTGGTTCTGCTCTTTGGAGCAATAGAAACTGACTGTTTTCTTCTTTAGGTGAATATAAGCTCCCTGGTGCCTAGAAAATTGTGTGAGAATATTAGATACTCCACAAATATTTGTTAATAAATGAGTATTTTATTACAGTTATTCTGTTCTCTCTTCTCATAAGGTTTTGAGTGACTTTAGTTGACCTTCACATTTTATATAAACCAGATAACCTATGCCCTGAGGACTGACAGGTTCCTCAATTTGGCTGTCAGACTGAGGCAGGTTGAAGACCCAGTCAGGGAAATGTAGGATTGGCACCCCCAATGACATTTGAGTCTCAGCTTTAGTTATGGATTTGAGATTAAAGAGGAAGAGGTTTTAGGAAGACTCCATACTTTGTACTACTCTCCTCTCCCCTCCCCTCTTTTTTTCAGTCGAGAAAAAAGTCTAATAACTTCATTTATTTGGTTACCTAGTTTCTCCAACATTATTTTCAAAATCATCTGAACTATCCCCACTGATTTCTGATTCCAACATAATATGTAGATTAGTATATGATATGTATTTTTTATTACTGAGCTACAAGGACATGATATTACATTCATTTCAGATGTACAACATAGTGATTCTACAACTCTGTTCCCATACTCTTAATTGACTGTTTTCCTAACCCCAGATAGCTGTTTTTAGAAATGTAGGGTACTGTGGTGGGGTATTAGATGTAGGAGCCAGTGCCTCCAGTTATTATCAGCTTTAACCTGATACTGACTGAAGTTGCATGTCAGTATTTTGGCATTAGTCTATAATTAAAAACTCCTGATAGCCTCATAACATCTGCCTCCTGCCTTCTTAAAAGTAGGTAAAACCCACCATTGGTCTGAACCAGGATGGTAAAGCACAGCCTTGTAGTCAGAATAATCACAGGATGCAGAAAGAAAAAAGTACAAGTGAAGCAGGGTAAGATTTTCTAGGAAGATTTTATGGAACAGATTTTGTTTCTTGCCCATCATTGATAGCCATTGGAGGACTCATTTGTTTTTGTATTTGATAAGAAACGCATTTAAAAAAAAATATTGTGAGAAAATGAGAGAGAGAGAGAGCGCGAGAGAGAGAGCATGAGTACGGGGAGAGGTACAGGGAGAAGCAGATTCCCTGATGAACAGGGAGTCTGACTTGAAGCTCTTCCAGGGACTCTGGGATCATGACCTGAGCTGAAGGCAGACGCTTCCCCGACTGAGCAATCCAGGCACCGCACCCTCTTTTGTTTTTCTAGTGACAATTCTGTTGACACTATAGTAGATCAGCTAAGTGTTAAATGTTCACGTCAAAGAATATTGAAAGATTGCTATTTGTGGGTACCAGGTAAACAGTAAAAGTTGTGGGAGGGTTGAGCGCCCTGCCCACCCCTACCTTCCTCTCCGACCCAGTGATTCCTCTTTCTGTGTCTTTAATAGATACTCAAAGAGTATCTGTAAAAAGATGCTTTCATCAGTTTCTAAGCAGGGTCAGAAAAGCCATCAATGATGGCAGTGAATACCAACTTTTTCCACCATAGGAGATCTTAAGAACAAGCATATAGAAAAGTGTACAAATTATAATGATAGAGCTCAATGAATTTTCACAAAGGGGAGCAGATGAGTAAATGGTACAGAGATCAATAAATAGGATATTACCAGCATTACAGAAGCCCTCTTCATGCTCCCATCACCATCTCCCCTCACAGGACACTGCTG